CTCTTCCCGCAGAGTAACGGGAGCGTCCGCGGCCGCTGCTGCCCCCGCCGGGACGGCAGCGCCGGCCTGTTTCACAAGCGGAGCCTGGCTTTTGGTTATTGCCCGTTACCCATCCGCCTGCTGCGCTTCTCGCGGAGAACGGGAGCACCGGCCCGTGAGCTGGAGCGCCGGGGGGAAAAAACCCTTCCCTCCCGCAACGGCTCGCTGGCCGAGAAATCAAACTGCTGCGTCGATGACAGAAGTCGCTTTACAACGCCCTCGAGGCAGGGAAGAGCCTTTCCAACCGTATCGTCTCATAGAAGATGCACATAACCATGTCAGTTATGAATGACGAAAATAATCGGGGAAAAACACCCCTGAAAGGCACAGGATGGGAAAGGTGAGCTCAGTACCCTTATCACACCGCTGAGGGGACTCTTCCCCGCATTTTGGGAACTGCATGAAAGGGAGCAGATTGCCAGGCAGGAGCCAACGCTTGGCTGACGGCACCCCTGGGCCCGCTTTCTGGTGAGGATGCCGTCGGGTGAGATGTCAGCACCAGCGCCTGAGACCGCGGCTCGAACGAAACGACACACCCGGCAGCGTGGGACTTGTTGGGACTCCCCAGTAACCGTCAGCCATCTCCTACTCTTGGTGTGGACGTTTGGTTCAGGCCCACCCGGCCCCGATGCCTCCTCCACTGGGTCCTTGTTGATCTTCGCCAGTTCCCAGGGCACCGCCCTTGCTCCACAGGTGGAGAGGGAGCATTTGGAGATCGTGCGGGCAGGCGACTCGCCTTTCCCAGGCGTTTTGTGCCGCTTGTTTCTTTGGAATTACCATCCACTTTGCTTCTCCCCTGCCATCACACGCAAGTTAATTCTACCCACTATTTCCATAATCACCGTGTCTCTTCCTCCTATAAACCCAGGAACTTGGCCACGGTTCCTGGAGACACGACCAGTGCTGGCTAATATAGGAAGGATAATGCCAACAACGAGGCATTATCTCCAAGAAACCACAACCGTCGTAGCATGAGGAAGGCTGCACAGCGGACAGATGCTTCAGCTATTCAAACCCAATTCTTAGCTTCAGTAAGCAATCTCCCCCCAGGAAGTCAGATAAAGGGTTTCGTGTAAGTTGCATTTTATTAGAGAGGTGGATTTGATACATGTTATATCTTAATTTTCCATTCTTCTTGTTCAGACACGTTGAGTGTACAGGTTTCCCATTTTTTAGTCAAGAAAGAAAAACACATTGCACAAAGCAGCTGCATTCAACAATACAACAAGATCATTATTCACTTGAAGACTAGAAATGTGCCCAGAAATTTTTCAATCATTCAGTATGCTAAAATATAGATAATAAAAAGAGTTAGTTACTGTTTAATGGTAAAATACATTAAAAAAAATTCAGGTGAATCTAGAATGAAAACTCGTTACTGCCTTCAGTATGGCACCGCTCTCTTGTTTCATTATAAATTTGTAAAAGGCACCACACATTGAAACTGTAAAGCAAGGGAGAAAACAAAATCAAGCAACTTTCCATGATGTTCTTTCTGTACAAATACATATATATCTTAAGGCAGGTGTTTTTATGTGCAAAATACAAGTATACAGGTAAAACCAATGTTGGCATCATATATTCTCATACTCACTTCTTCTTTTAGCAGGAACATTGGTGTCCAAATTTACAGTACATTGAAAACACTTTTCTCTAACAGAGCTCAAAATAGAAGGCAGGCTGGAAATATGGCCCTGATAACAATTAGTTTTTAAATCTGAAGAGCTTTTATGTAGACCCCTTAAAACATGTACAAACAGTCATTCTCTTTTTCTTGTTGTCTCTTCCTTTAGAAAGGTCCATATCAACTTGTTCACTATGTCAGGTTGATCCTGCTGGAGCCAATGACTGGCTTCAGACAAAATAGTTAATCTGAAATGATTTTTAACATAAATCCGTGTAATTTCCGCCATCTCAACTTCCATAAACGCATCTCTTTCTCCCCATAACAGCAGGGTGGGCATGATGACTTCATGGTGCTGCAGAGGTAGGCAGCTTTAAAAATAGAACACATTTAGTTAGGTCCTCTTTTACAAAAATCACTGAGGCAGATTTCAGTCAACTTAGCTTTTGAAATCAACACAGTGAATCTCACTGCAAGCTTTCTAGGTTCCAAGATAACTTCTACAATACCAAGAAAACACTCTGGTGAGTCATGTTTTTAAGGATGGTAAAATTGTTAGGAGATACTTTCCCTGTAAAGTGTCTGTAATCAGTGACAGAGGTCTGATTTTTGGACCGTGAATGATTCTTCGGCATGGTGCACAGCTCAGGAGCCCCATGATCTCTGTAAAAGGCAATGAGGAACAACGTGGCCAGAACTTTGTAGGTCAGTGGCTTCCCCTTGTTTGATGAATGCTATGGCAAATTTCTGAACCTGCATTATGTACTGCAAGTAGGTTTTCATGAAATACGATGCTTTGAATCACGTTTAGACCGCAGTGTTCAAGGCATCTAGCTACCTGAGTAGCCAAACTGCCTTGCCAAAAAATGGTTGTCTAGGAAATGGCAGGCTGCCATTTTTGGACACTATGGAAGATACCAGCTAGAGTGTTTCAGACCTACTCAAAATTAAATATCATGTAGTACAGCTAAAAATAAAAACACCTGTAGGAAAAGATATTCTGTAGAACACTGATGTCTGAAATGCTGAACTGACATCGGCTACATTCACTCCTCTACAAAACTCATGCCAACGTACAAAGTGCATCGCAGTTCCCTTTACAAAGAGCTACAGTATGGTTTTGCAGGCCTTGGAATTCCATACCAACATCTGTATGCAGCAAAAGAAAACTGTTCCTTAAAAATTTGCCTTTCATGGAGTCATAATCTCTTTAAAACTGCAACATCACAACCCAGAGCTTTGGCAGACTAGAAAGCGTTTAAAGATAAATACATTGTAAGACATCTTATTGATACTTTAAAGAAAAGCCCTTAGAAAGTAAAATATTAATAAAAAATATACCATCACAATGATCTATTTAAACTTTCAGTAAAAACTTACTAGTTTTTCTTAATACAATTACTTTAAATGGACTGTTTTATTAGTATTTCCTCACATTAAAGGTAGACATTAGGAAAGATACAGGTAGCTAGAAAGGAAAGACTATTTCAACGTAAACCTTATTAACCCACCAGAATTTATCATCTATTTCAGAGATGCTGAAAAACATATCTAATTTATGCCTGAATTGCTTAATCTTAGCCACATACTGTAACAGACCAGCTGTGACAATTCAGAACAGATTTCACCTGATCAGATACAAACATTATACCAATGCTTAAACAGGATTATTTTAAACCAATAATGTACGACGATTTTCTGAACATACTTTTATGACAAACCTAAGTGCGAGGGTAAAATTTAGGCATCAGTTAAGAGACTATGCTCTGTAAAAAGGGAAAGACATGGAAGATGGCATGCATTAGTTTAAGGTACGACAAAGAAATGGAGACTCTGAGGACATACCTCCTCCCTACTTATGCATTATGTCAAGAAACATTAAGAAAAGTTCACTTGAAATAATAATTTAATTTCATTTTGATTAATGAATTAGGAAAATTCTTAAAGTGGCTTTTGGGGCAGTGAGCTTAAAATCTCCTTTTTCAAACAAACTGACCTAACCCACTGAACTGTAGCTTATCGTAGTATCAGTTTTAAAAATTTATAATCTGATGATCTGATTCAGAGCATTTAGACTAATCTCTTTACATTTTAAATCCAGTACCCTGGATCTCTTCACTATTTATATGTGTATTTTTTCACTACTGTAGGGTTTACTATTACTCATTTGTGACTAAGTGCCATACAAGATTCGTAGCCTCACTCAGGAAAATTCTACTGGGCTTTTTACGCACATTGCGTGGATAAACAACCTCCATTGCCTATGAGCTGCACCTTATTTCTTTTCAGTCTGGAATATGGCACATGATGTTGTGCCTGAAGTTTCTAGAAATCTCCTTTACCAAGGATTAACACGCAGATTTCACATTCAGAAAGGGAAGTCCCACTTGTGAAGTTTAAGTCTTTGAAAAACAGACTCAAACCTTCATGCAGCACCGTTAGTTGACCAGCAGGTTTTCTGTAAACAACTACTGAAGTACTTCTTAACTGCTATAAGAAAAGTAATTGCGTTTTCTAAAAAATGGCATATCGGAAGAAACTCAAGCTTCAACTGCTTACCTATCCCTCTTAACCAAGCATGACACTAAAAGCTTTATGATTTTTATTCCAGAAGTGTTTGTATCTGAAGTGTAGTGAAAGGAATGACTGCTGTGCTATTGGTGATGGATGGAAATAGGTGATTTCAGTCATCCCTTTGGAAATAACTTTCCAGAAAAAATAAAGCTCTGAAGAACGAAACTCCAGGTGGATAGTAATGAGTTGGAACCTTTAACACGTAGGTCACCAGTGCCAGCCCACTGGGAGTTATGGTGAATACAAGTCATTAGCATCTAAGTGCTGCTCAATGGCTTATATGAGAGGAAGTGAAAATGTCAATCCAGTTTTAATATTTAATGATTTACATCCCATAAGGTGTCACCATCAGAAGTGATGGCAAGAACCAAATGAGCTGAACAGGAATCTTTTCCTTCCAGGTCAAAGCCTGCTGCGCTGTGGCTGCTAGCACCTATAATAATATTCTCTGAGTACAGTACAGGTATACTTTTATTAGAAAAATAAAGCAAACAATGCCCAAACATACACAGAGGATTTAATAGCTGTGAAGATACTTTCTGATTAATAACCAATACTAGACTTTTTTGGAGCCTGAAAAGGCCTGAAACAATAGTTCAAATGTACACAATTCTTACATTCATCTCATCTGAATCCTATAGCAATTCAGCTATCACTGTTACTGTCAGAGAAGCATCTGGTTAATGTGCACACTCACTGATGCGAGGTGCTGGGGCGAATGTAACGAACAAGGCTCAGGGCGCCCCGTGCCTCTCCAAGCTCCTCATTAGCCCTACCCTGGGGGCTCCTGCAGTGCAATTGCAGGGCCAGGGAGCTGCCGTGCACAGCTCCCCGTTGCCCTTGGACATCCCAGCTGATGTCATCTCTCCATAGCTTTAAATACGTATACTGTTACCAGCACAGCCATCTCATTTATTCCCCGTTGCTGTCCACGCTTGCTGCTATCTTGTTTAGAAGAAAATATACCACCTCTCTACTTTCTCGTACCAATTTTGTCTCTTAGCCTGTACAAGACAGCAAACGGGCTCAGAGCCCCGTTTTCCTCCCAGTATTTCCCTGCTGACTGCTCTGCTGACAGCGACAGCATGGGAGGCACCGAATGAACAAGCAAATGCAGCGCTAAAGTTGGACCCGGGAAAATGAAAAGTTGACCCTTTTCAAAAATCTACTGTCTTGAGTTTAGGGAAGGAAAAGAATTGTAATTTTTAAAGAATATTGGGAAGCTGGTCTTGTGTTAGAGAAGCATGCAGGAGATTTAGCGCTGTTGAAGACTGGAGGCAGTAAAGGGAAAAAGAGCTCAATCCCACCCTTCTTGGTATAGTCCTTCAAGTTAGGGCTACGAGTTGTAAGTAGGGTATATGCAGAGTTAAAGACCTTCTGGCCCTATTAAGTTTTTGGTGGGTAAAAAGGGGGTGTCAGTCTCTAAGGCCAAGCAAACTCCTTCCAGGAAAGTTAAAACCATTAGAAAACTGCTGGATAAAATAAATATTAAGCTTGCAAAATCTTTCCTATTATGATACTATCTCTCAGTTTTAGTCTATGGATGCCCCCTGCTATAAGTGCTTACTGCTGCCAATAAGACCAATGCTGGAACAAAAAAACCCAAGTTAGGGTTAGTCTTAGGCTTACTTACAAAAACCCTACCCCACCTTTAAAAAAACCCCAATCAAACAGCCCAAACACAATAAAATCCAATTCAGACGTGGTTTCGTAAAGTTGCAAGTGAGGGTAACTTCTTTGGATGCCGTATTATCTAGGAGGATTATCTAATAATAATCTCTTCATAGAGCTTACTATTAGATAATATAAACTGTAATGAAAACAATTAATTGATGTTAATTTTGTAAGTAATATTTAGAGATGGATTTTTGTGCTTGCCGTGGGTTCGGTGAAAGAGGAAGGGTCTTTGCTTTATTAGATTTCGAAACAAAGACTTTCCTCGCCTGCACTCTGCTTGTGCCACTGGTTGCCTGGGTATCTCGTACAACTCACCGTGCATCACTCCCTGACACTGGGTGCATCTGTGACCTGCAGAGACTTTAGGAACAGATTGGCGTTTTTCCCTACTTTAGAAGCAGAAGATGCAATAACACTTTTGGCCTCCAGGGGTCTCTAGAATATTTTACCTCGTTTCAGAATGTTACACTCACCTGAAAATATTTCTGTAATGATTAATGGGTCCAGTTAATGCTCCAGGTTGGGAAAAGACGTAAAGATAAGCTTCAATATCTTCTGCTGTTAATCTGCAGCCTTTCCTTCCAATTCCAGTGGCCTGGCTGGTAAATAAACTTTTCAGAACCTACAAAAGGAAGAATAAAAATCCACCATGTAAGGTAGCTAGAAAATGTGATTTCTCTTCTTCAAGAGGACACATCTTTCTAAAATCTATGCATACATTGTTTAGAGTATAATGAATGGTTTAAATGCTTTTTTTTTAGAGAGCCATGTGTAAAGCACATGGTAAACTTACTTCTGATATAACTTAATTCAGAATAATCAAGTACAGGCAAATACCAGTATTGCCAAGTTACCCGGTTCTGCACCCTGACCTGCCACCCGTGACAGGCAAAGGCAAGCGCGGGCACAGACTTTCCTTTGGCTTGGACCCCAGCAGCTGGCGGGGCAGGAGGGAGAATGGTTCAGGACCTCCCCAGTTCACTGCGCCCACGGCACCAGCAGCTCTGCGCTGGCCTGTATGCATGCAGGAGGATGCATGCTGGCAGCTGCTTTCCCCCTTTCTATAGGCTTGTATTCATTTTTTAAGGTTATACGAGGTGTTGGCCTTGCTGGTTCCTCAGGCAGAATTAAGCACCTGGCTGAATCTGATGCCCAGAGTCGCAGGCTGCCTGCCCTGTCGCAGGCTCTGGGGGATAAGAGGATGTCCCACTGCATGCAGGAGCTTCTGAGAAGTCAGCGGGAGTTCCCCACGCACCAAACGTGTCCCACTGGCATGGACACAAGGAAAGCCAGCTGACTGACTGGGTGCAATAACACACTGTAGTGCTGGAGGTTAAAAGTATGTACCTGAATGCAGAAATGCAAAAGCAAGGCTTAATCTATGTACTTATATCCTACTTCATAAAAATATATAAAGCTCAAGAAGAGAAACCGGAAAGCTCTGTATTTTTTCCAGCAACTATAACTACATCAGAAGGGATCAACGTAGGTGGCAATTCTTCCATCACTCACAGTTAAATATATAAACAAGAGCACTCATTTTGCTCACCTTGAAATCATTTACTGTAAACATGAATTCAGGAAACCATGGCATTTGGAAAAAGAAGTAGTAACCAGATTTAATCAATTGTGATGGATGTCGTAGAATGTATTCTGAAACAAAAATGCCCATGAATTAAAAATGAAAACTGATGACTCAAACAAAACTACTGTTAATATTACTATTTTTTAAACTTAAAGGAATGTTTTAAAAATACTACGTTAGAGCATGCTGTGTGACAAAAGATGATTATTGTTTCAGGAGTAAGTATATGATGTGGCCGTTAAAACATACTTCTTTTATATGTGTTAATAGAAACAGTCAGCAAACCAGAAGCTTGCCAAAGATTGGGTGAGGGCAGTGACATTGGAGAGTTTAACCGCATGACAGGTTTTCACTTAGAGATCTATTTGTGTAGCTAGTCCAAAGCATTTTTTTCAGCTGTGGAATAAGAGGCATAAATACAGGTCTTTAAGTATTCCTCTCATCAAAGATGCAATGCACAGAAATCTGTAGATGATAAGCCACTTACATTCAAAAAAGTACAGAATTTTTCTAACAGTTGTCTTCTTGGCAATTTCAAGAACCATAATCAAGCTTACACAGTGTCACCTTTTTAAAGACATTGGAGCATATATAACAAAAGAAAATTACATAGCCAAATTTGCATTAAGTCTTTTTTTTTAAATCGTCAATTTTGTGTCTCCAATGAGTTGCAAGAGCCAACGCTGACATTCAAATATTGAACTTCCTCGAAGCAACCATAGAATGTATGCAAGTACTAGGAAGTCTAGAACCTATCCTTTACAGATGCAAATTCAGGAAGGCAAAATTGCACTAATTGGAAGTAATCTCTGAAATACTAATTCTGACAGTGAATAAAAATGGGTTTTAATACAAAGTAAACTGAAGTGTCAGCTATCTTCTAAGCCTTCATATCTTACACATTCTCAAACTGCCTCACCCACTGTATTTTTCCTTGATGGACCATCATCAATGCTGCTCACTTTTCTGCACAATTTATAAACTGTGTGGTTTTGTTTAATCCACAGTAGAACAAAGTTAAGCCAGGAAGACTTTATCAAGCTACAGAACAAATTTTGTACTTTAATAAATATGCAAACAAACACTAAGAAATACTATAATAAAATGTATTTGTCTTCTGTGCAGCCTGGCTCCTGCTCTCAGTGAAAATACTGCAAAAAGCTCCTGCTCGCTCAGGTGGTGGTGAACAGACCTTTCCTTGGGTAAGTGAGGCTTAACTACCTGGCAAAATGTTCTTTCACACCTTAGAAAGGTGCCCAAGAACACTGTGAGAACAACATGTGTGAGTGGCTCTGATTCCACAGTGGTGTAAGGTCAGATTTACATTCAACTGAAATGAAAATTAAAGCTGCGCTGAATATTCTTAACTATTTCTGGGAAAATGGGGTGACTTTTTGAATGGAAATAGGGTAAGATTGACAACTGAAGGAATTAAAATCAGTGAGATACTACTTTCCTTTTAATTACTGAACGTTGATCTGATCCCTATGTAATTCTGGGTAGTAGACAAGCTCAAAGCCTGTCACACAACAGATTTTGCTAGTGCACCTGTATCTTTGTTTCAGCTCAGTACTGGTACATTCCTGAGCCCCTAGCTGGGAAAGGCTGTCTTGTTCCAATGAATATCATAAAAGATCATAAACTGTCGCTTGTCACCTAAATCTGGATGAAATTCTGATGTCTGATTCACATTTATACAAAGGCTGGTTTATGCAGGTTTATTGCAGTGAGGCCTTAACCTAGGTGTAATGCAATATACATCCCTGTTCATGGAATTCTATTCTGCCAAAGTGGTATAAAACAGATTCATGTATATGAAAATTATGGTTTTGACCTTCAAGGATTAAGAAAAGCATCAGTAAGTTTGGTTGTAAGCAGTCCCACTTCCTACAACAAATAATTTCCAAAAGTCAAATATCTGATACCTTACTGCTTCATAAAATACAGCCCAGCTTGTGAGAGGCACCAACTACTGGCAACTTATCTACTGAACATCTGAAGGGGCAAGTAGTTGGTTCTTCTTTAGCAACCTCAAAGCAAACACAATCTTAATGAAAATACAGATACTCCAGATGAACAAAGACTGCTTTAACACTCACCTGTAAACACAGAAGGATGAGGGAAATTAACCACAATCAGCTTGGTCACCATTTCAGGGTAACATATAGCCACTAACCAAGCGATCATTCCTCCCCAGTCATGGCCAATCAAGACACACTTGTTGTATCCTACCACATAAACACAGATTTGTGCTTTTATTTCAGTGGAATTTGCATCCATACAAATTATCGCACACAATAAAATCATTATTGGGCAAAATAGGTGGTCCAGCACATTTATTAATGTAACCACTTAATCCTGCACTGCTTCCATTACTAATGGCCAGATAAATTAGTGCACTATTACAGTTAAAAAATTAACAAATAATTAAAAATATTTAATTGGACGTCAATTACACTCTTAACTATAGTACCTCAATGTCAAACTAAAGTCACTCGGTATCCAAGTGGCCTACCTGTTTACATCTTGGCCAATGTAGGGTCAGATATACAATTCAACTTGCAGTCAATATAATGCTTGTACATTTGGCATGTTTAGGGAGTTTGGAGTTTGAAACTGCAGATAGGAAGACTGAGCAATTTCCTGAGCCCCTCCTGAACAAAACTAATCTTTATGAATGTCTCTGAATATGGGAGGTTATCTAAGCACTGCACATCATCATTATGCAAAAAGCAGGCATTCTACTTAATAACCATATATATATGGCATATATATATGGCATATATATACACACATGAATGCACACATTTATATACTTAGTAGGCCTGTAGCTTTTCTCCATATGCTGTTTCGATGGCAATTTTTAAAGGTCTCAGCATTCATGTACTTATTCTTCCATTGATAAAAATGGTAATTTAACAGTAATAAAAGGAGGGAAAAAAAATCACGACTGTGTTTTTGAAACCCTAACCATTCCTCCTTTAACCACTGCTGGATACATACTATAGGGTCAGATACCATCAACCTCCTCACTGAGGATTGTAATGCACATACACTCCAAATTAAACATACAAAAGCCAAACTGTTTAGAATCCTGACATAATTTTGAACACAGTTGTCAAAGCACCTTATAACCCCTCTTGAATAGAAATCTTTTGGAGCACTTTGGATATAACCAAGTTCTCCAAAAGAATTTAACTCAGGGTTAGAAAAAACAAAGATAACAAGCCTCAGAAATATTTTTTCCCCCAAAATTTAAATCCCTATGAAACTGAATTATGATGAGAGCACTCCTCAAGCATAACCATGGCATTACCATGGAGATTAACACAACCAGCAAAGGCTGGAAAATGTAAACACAGCGTGGGGACTGCCTGTCTGATCTTTTGACAATATTCAAACATCACAAGCAAAGCAAACGCTAAAGTCAAACCTTAGAATTGGAATCACTGCTTTACTATTTCTTCATGTGAACTGCAGCAAGTTGTTTCACTATCTGTAGAATATATCCAGGGAATTAAAATGATTCAGAGAATGACAGTCTAATCCCTTGTCTTGCTATTGGTATGGAAGGGAAATGCCCTTCACTAGGTGTTAACAATTTATTGCCAGAACAGGTACGCTTCAAACTGAACGGGAAGGGCAAATTTTGCAGACTCGCTTCAGGCTCTGGACCGTTACACCGTGTATTTGCCACAGGGAGCAATGTGTCCCTCGTTCTCCCTTCTGTTCTTCTCACTGTTGTATAAGACAGAGTGATTCAGCTCTGGAGAACTGACTACTGTGCAGGAGTAGTATTTTGGGATATTTTTTTTTTAATACAGCAGATGTACTGTCATCATCTCTATAAAGCCCACAATATTTATTCTATCTTGTTTGTGCAAGAAAAACGTCACCTGATTGAAATTCTTTGGTCTGCAAGTGCTATTAGACTCTAATTCAGAACATTATCCACCAAGTGCAATAGTTAGGAGTAAGCAAAGACCTTCTTAGGGAAAAAGACCACAGGTTTTTACTGCTGGATTTCATAGTGCATAGGGAAGATTTTTTTTTTTTTTAAATTTACAATGGAAAATCATCTTTACATATTGTTTATACTGACATACGCATCATAATTAGAAAACAAGCCTTTTTCATTTATAATAGTCCATAAAATAGGGGTATCCTTAGATTTATATCTATCCATATCTGTAACGTGTATGTATTAAAGAGAATACAGTTTAAAAACAAACAAAAAAAATCAATGCTAGCTCTGTATGGTTTTTTTCCCCAGAAAATCAAGTCATCTATGAGCTGAGTAGTTTGTCTTCCACTAACGCACCTAGAGATTCCAAAATATCCTTTATATCTGTTATCAGGCAATCTAACTTGTAATTTTCTTTGTGAGAAGGAGCGTCTGTTTCTCCATAACCTCTCAAATCCAGGGCCACCACTCGATATTCACTTTTAAATTCCCGCAACTGATGGCGCCAAGAATACCTAACAAAGGGGAAAAAAAAGTTGGAGTTACAAGGTCAAGCAGTACGATACCAAAATGCACTCAATGCTTTTTCTCCCAAGTAGTTGAGGGCAAATTAGCACGGCTTTATTTGCAATGAGATTCTTTCTTTCCTTCTGCGGTACGCTGGTGGTCCTTTGTGGCTATAGTAGTTCCGCGCTCCCTTCTTGAATTCCCCAGCAAGGAAGTGCAGCTGCCAGAAAGAGGGCATGGCCAAAGCCTGGGTGCTTCAACAGCTCCTGGGGTCTGGCACGGTCCCTTTGCTACGAAGGAAGATGGCATAAACCAGAGCACACAGAGGACTATTCTGTTTTATCCTTGGAGCCGTAGTACCATCAAAAAGTAAGGTCTGAAAAGCTTCCTCTTCGCCCTGCCTTGCTCACACACACATTTTGACGCAGTAGGGTAACATGCCTTAAGGCATGTTTGGTTTTTTTTTTTTTTCTCTTTTCGGACAAGGAACATCAGATAATTCATACACTAAATAAACCAAAGAAATATAATGAATAATAAATTAACTTGGTGAAGTTTATACGGTATCTATTATGTACACTTTCATCTGTGTCTCTATACTACCAGAATTGCTCCAGAACAATCTCTTGATGTGTTGGTACTACATTGCTTGCGTTTCTAGGGAAAAGAGTGGTAACATTACACACATAGAAAGGCATACAAAATTAAGAACTCGTGCAAAGGCCTGGGCTATTCCTCATTCTGTAATAGTATACAGCAACTAGATGTTTGTTATGAAGCAAAATTAACAAGAAAATGGTGGGTCTCATCCTGCAAGAACTACTTGCCCTTCAACTGTTATTGAAACCAAATACATTTCAGAATAGCCAGTACGAAGACAGACATGGCCTTATCTTATACTGCAGTAGATATACAAAAAACATGATCCTTCTAGGCATATATAATAATGGCTGCATCACTCTGTGCTAGGGTTGAGCTTTTACTTCTGCTCGTTTCAACAATCTCAGATAAAGGATACATAACATTTGGATCATCAGCGATCGTAAGAGCAATGCACAGAATTCTACCTTAATTCAAACAGTGTCTATATCAGCCCATTGGCTCTTCCACTTTAGCTTTGCTTCCAGCCTATTAAGGATTCTGAATATAAGTAATATTACAGTAACACTCATTAATTATAGAAATTTGTATTCATATAAACAGAACAGTCAGAACCTTTTTGTTTCAGTGCCATACAATGCACATACAAGATTTAGCTGAGATCTCCAGGAATGAAATTTTTACAGGCATTATACAATGACTTGGAAGCTGAATTTGCCATGGTAACTGTTGTAGCTATCCTATATACTTCAGCAAGAAGAAACAACGAGTGAGGCCCATAAATAAACTATTTTTGTTTTCAGAAAATGTCTACTTGCTATCCTCATCTTCTGTTTTCACAACAGTCCATCAATCACCAAACGTCTCACCGACCAAATGGGTAGGTTTTATATTCAAAGAAATCCTTTTACCACATAAGAAATGTAACTATCAGACAACTGCTTTGCAAGCAGAATTTGGAAATGTTGGTGAATGCTTTCATTTTCATAAGGTTGAATAATATTTTGTGACTTTCTGATCCCATTATTTCTAAAAGACGGCTTGTAAAAAAATTAGCAGCTCACACACATGTCTTACAGGTACCTAGCTGCCTCAACACATTATGCCCAATTGCAAATATTTTATGATTGTCCTTTCGCAACATTGGTATTAATTTTCAAGTTCTTATGCATCTAAAGCACTTAATAGCTCTGGTACGTTATATTCTTAAGTGATCTTTCATCTTCAGACAGTCTCAATCGCTCACTGAGGTCAGTATTGTCTGGTTATAGTTGTCCTACATATAACCTTGAGACATTTGAAGGCAGAGGATTGAATTGTAACTGTGAATAATATCCGGGCTTTTTTTTTGCTAGCCAAACGACACAAATTTGATGCTGCTTTAAATATCTCTTAAACTGTGATTATTTTATCTTGTGCTCTCAGAACAACCTCTATTCTCGCATAAAAAAAAATCTTCACTGATTGATTAACAAACCAACATCGATATTGGTAGCGTGACTATTTTATAGACTGTTGGCATGTAGTCTTCTTTTTAAAAATAGTTATATCAGCTACGCTACTAGTGGTCCCAGTGACCTATATAACAGTTTCTCATTCATTCCTTTTGAATGGTCAGGCAATACAATATATTAACTGTCACTTAAAGCATGACTCACCATTCCGAACTGTGAGAACAGCTTTCTGCTTTTTGAAAAAAATATACCAGATCTCAGTAGGATATGTATATAAAATGCTAAATTTTCCGTTACTATTCCCTCTGTAGGGGAAATCAGCTGTAGTCTCAGCTGTCTCACTGTGTTAGAATATGCATTATGCAAGGTATGCATGTTTGCATAGAATATCCAACCCACCCCCCCATCTAACTGTCTTTATAATCAAAGTTTACAGTTTTAATCCTTTTAGATAGCACTTTACTATAAGAACAGTCTGCTACTTGGAAAATTTATCTTAAAATAAACATGACTTCTTACCACCATCCTCAAGACTGTTGTTATCTTACAGGAAATTGCTAAGGGAAGAGAACTGACCTCTGTTTTACCTGGGCCAGTATATCATGGTATGACCTGAGTCCAGCTTGAGAGATCACAGTTCCAACAGTGGAGCCTAGCTCCATATCTGAGTTTAGAAAGGAAAAGGATCGTTTAGCTTGCTGAAATACTGGCATCGCCACTTCCACTATTCCCTTACTATTTTTTTCAGTGCAAATTCTATAAGCCATGCTTCACTAGTTAAAGCTGGCAACGACAGCCTGAGCAATTTGATTAAATCATTAGACACATGACTGCTTTTCATTGTTATAAACAAACATTTAGGATTGGGTTTGATTCATCATTCATCTTATGATGAACTAATAATAGAACCTTTCTCCCTGAGTAGCATTCTGAAATTAGGCTGCACAATAGCCTATAGAACTCATAGTTCTCCTTCCCCTCCCCCAGTTAAAAATTAACGTATTCTTCATAAATGCAGCAACCCATCCTGCACTTAACATATAATGAATCCTCATTTTAACGCCCTCTGCTATAATTCATAAGTTTAGCCATATTTGTACAAATCTTATCCAAACAGGAAATTCATTAAAAACGAGCAGTCCTTTCCCAAAGTTTCAAGAAAAGTGCACATACATGGGGAAAAATGAATTGACAATGTGAAAATTGACGGTTGGTTTGTGTCAGCCTGCAGGAATTTTCTGTGGATGCTGCAGTTAAAATATGTTTCAATGGTTTGTTCCCTACTGGAACTTCATGCCATTAGTTAGAACTCATAGGTACGTAAAATGGATCACAATGGGGATACTTAAGCCGAGATGATCGCTCTCAGGTATCTTAAGCAGCCTCTTTTATATAAGGAAAGTGTGTAGGGAGTTTTACCAGAATTCTGGAAAGCCATGAAGCAGCAGCATGAGTGGTTTACCCCTTTCTCCGGCAGCCACATAGTGGAATCTCAACCCTGAATCCTAAAATGAGAGAGAAAAAAAAGGGTGTTTTTATTGTGGCATAGAACTGCTACACTGAGATTTGAGAATGAATATAGTTTCAGACAACAACCTAAGAAAAAATGTATTGCCCCTGAAAAAAAAATAAATTAAATTGTCTGGTTTTGAAGCTGAAGTCTTCAGCGATTCTGAGATCAGGTCTCTGCTATGCCCTGGCAAGGCTGAATAAAGGAAAAGTTTTTTCACCGAAAGGGTTGTCAAGCCCTGGAAGGGGCTGCCCAGGGAAGGGGTCGAGTCCCCACCCCTGGAGGTATTTAAAAGCCGTGTAGCTGCGGTGCTTAGGGACATGGTTCAGTGGTGGGATGGCAGTGCTAGGGTAACGGTTGGACTGGATGATCTTATAGAGCTTTTCCAACTTAAACGATTCTATGATTCTAGTACCCCACCCCAGCTGCCTCAGCTTCTTCCAGGAAGGACCACCTTTAATACACGCCAGGCTCGGCTGACGATGTGCCTATGCTAACCTCTCTGAAAGAGCACCTCCTGGCATGGTAATCTGCAAATGCAGATTATTGTCCAAGCTAGCACCTTGTTTTCACACCGACACCAGTCATGTGCTTCATGGAAAGACTTTAAGACACAGTATACTTTAAATCGATCTTTCAGTTAGTTTGTAAGATTATGCAACTATTTAAAGCCATCACATTGCATTTGAGCACAATAAAGGACTGCATGGATTCTTAAGACCCAAAAGCAATCAGAATTAAGTAACTAGAAAGCAAGTGGGTTTTGCTCGGTTTTACTCTTCCGGGTTTCAGACTTGCTTCAGAAAAGAAAGCCTTAACGTTATGATCTTCTTTCTGCCCTGTCTGTGGTCACTATTTCTGATCCACCTTTTAAATAAATAGGTCTTATGAGAATTACCAGCAGCCAAGTTCCTTACTGTCAGCAGTGCAGAGGCTGAACGCTGAAATGCCGCTGAAATGAACGGGTGTACACAAGCGTACACGAACTCAAGGTCAGATCCAGGAGAATTTAAATAAGCTGAAATTATGACCTAGAGGGTTTCCTGAATTCTGGCACAGAAGTGGATACAGAAGTTGGGACAGAGTTAGCTCACAAAATACAACACGCTGTTTAGAAGTCACGTGGAGGAAACTGCAGGAAGAAAGGTTGCACAGCTCCTGAAGAAATGTCAGAGCCTGCCCTGTCTCTGCTATTTTAAAGAGGGAAGAAAAACCCCATGCCTTTGCTGTACACCAAGAGCTTGCATCATGCCAAGGATCACAAATGCATAGAAAAAGTTTTTCTTGCCAGAGATGCTTCCAATTCTCTGAGCTACCTTGGCACTGGTAAGTCACTGACCAGCTACAAAACCGTTAACTCACGTCTTATTTCTTGAAAGGGCTCTGAAAAGGAAACATCTGGGGGTTTTATACTCGCTATGGATATACTAGGGACTTTTTGCTCAGTTCTGCCCCAAATGACACTGATATTTCTCCTCTGCCAATGAAGTTAAAGTCCCTAGAGATAAAAGTATCCACGCATTTCTAAATACTTAATGATCTCTTCTTAGGGCCGTTACATTATCTTCACCATTCTCCAACATCACTCTGCCTTTGATCCTTTTATATTTAAAGAAGTAGAAGTTTCTCAATTTCCTTCCACAGTTTCTCTTCTCAATTTAGTGAGTAGTGGGTAAGCCCTCCTCCAGCCCGCTTCTTTCAGTTGTCCTCTAGGGACTGAGCTTCAACATTCTTATTTTAATCTATTTATTGTTTTTAAAGACATCCCCTTTAGTCACACAAATTCGATCACCACTTGTACAGCAGCAGTGTAAACCTTTCCAGTTGCTCCTTTCTGTACCCCTTTTTCTTCCCCCCCCCCCTCAAAGAGACACAGGATGTTGTCACCTTTTTTGAAATATGCTTTTTTCTTTGTTTTCTTGAAAACTGTACAGATCTGGAGGATACGTGCGTTTGGAAACTAACACATCAGCCTGCTGCTACCCAGCGGCACGAGGGTTTCAGATTTCCTGGAACGAGGGATAGACACTCGTATTGACAGCAATTTGATTTTCCCCCAAATGCTCTTTGATGGCTGTCGCACCCCTCGCTTCCCCAGCAACCCATTCACTTACTGCTTGGTGCTGTAGGAAAAAAGAACGTGGCACGCGAGCAAAAGAGCACGCACGTGCCTCCTAATGACAGAAAAAAAAACCCGAGCAAATCATGAGAAACTGGGAGACTCAATCGTTTTTAGTGCTACTGCTGGGCACAGAATCATCTGCACAGATCCCTCGGAACAGGGATCTTTGTGCCCATTTTATTAAAGATGACGCTTGACAAAATTCGCAGCGCGTTCTTTGCTCACCTGTAACTACAAAAGACACCAAACCAATGCAACTTCATTTAGAGCGTTTGGTAGAGCAGGTAGAGATCCGAGACGAGTAGAAAAACTGACCGGCGGCTGTAACCGTACAAACCTCGGGGACGGGACTTCCCTCCTCACTCCGGGCTCTCCCCCGGACCCCGCCGC